CTCATTTAAAACTAATGATAATATTAAGTGTATTTACTTATTAAATGATATGTAAAAATTATTAAAAAAAATTAATATTAAAATATTATTCTATATTATTACCCAAAAGAAAAAATGACAAATACTCTTTATGTAATTCCAAGAGTTTTTTTTTTTTTTTTTTGATATCTGTAATTCTAAAAGTTAAATTAACTAATAAATGAATATTATGTTGTAAAATAGATTTATGATTTAAAATTTAAATTGATTTTCAATAACATTAAAATTAAGAAATGTATCCAGTTGACGCGTGATAGAGTCTTTTATAATAATCCAAAGAACGAAACTTTTTCTTTTGGTCCACATGACTTTTACATGGCAATTAATTTCTTTTAGTTGAACGGTTTTGAAAAAGTGTTGGTCGACAATACCCCTACAAATTTTTACGTAACGGATTGAAAAAGTGATTGGTGTACCATATTTTTACAAAATTTAACGTAACGGGATTGAAAAAGTGATCGGTGGACTATACTTTATTATTTTTATAAATTTTAGCGTTTGAGTAGATTATCATAGGCTTAAATGAATTTTTGTTGAGTAAAATGGTATAATTCTAGGAATCGATAAGAATCATATCTTTGCATCTAAATGATTGACTTTCAAATTTTTAAGTGTTTAGGTTAAGTTAATCTTTTAAATAAAAAAAAAAAATCGAACTCCATCGTGTGATTCGATGGGTTGCGTTGCTTAATTTAAAAAGTGAGAGATCTTATTTTGAAATCAAATTTTCAGTTACTAATATTTTTTAACCCTAATTACTAACCATTACCTTATAATAAAAAAATAGAAGTCAAGGAATTGAAAAGGATTCGCTCGGTTCAGTTCAGTGAGAATGATCTTGAATTAAGGGAATTATATTCATGAATTACAATTTTAAGTTTTATGGATATTTTTATTTTATCTACTTTCTCAATTATAATTATATTAAAAAAAAAAGTTCGAGGAATAGAAAAGAATCTATATATTTTATAAATTAAAATGTTAAAAATGGTAATAAAAAATTAAAATATT